TTTATACAGGCAAACTATCAGTTCTATTTCATGTAAAAAATCAAACAATCCCTAAATAAAATACAAAGATAAACAGTATTTGTTAATTATTATTTCTTTTAGTGCTGACAATATTCCCGTGGCGGAGCACGGGCGGTTAACTAGTTCCAATTAAATATGAGTAGAGCCTACTCATAAGGTTAAAATGGGAAATTCCAGAGCCACTGGGGCGGAGCCCTTTTGACGGATCTGCACCAAACTTCACACAAACCATCCTTGAATAATGCTTAATAATACCTGAAAGTTTCATTCCAATCAGTCGAGCGGTTTCGGAGTCCATAAAGGACAAAAAAAAAAAAACAAAAACAAAAAAACAAACATACATTGGTATTTATATATATAGATTTTTAAATATACCCTAGTTTTACATAGGATATAAACTCTTGGTTTTTACTAAACTTTGCTTTAAAGTGCAATTCCCGTTTCCTCTTACTAGAAATTCCTATACCTTGAGTCACCCAATTCAAAGTAGATTTATTTCCGGTAGTTTTAACCTTCTTTTAGCGATTTCCCATATAAGGAATAAGCTATTTTACTGTAGTACTCATGGCAGACCTTGACCCGGGACCGATTTACTTTTTTCGTCCCTAGAGGCCAAAAACATGTGTCCGTTACCTGATAACTCGAGCAAAAATGATGCGATTTTGATGAAATTTGGTATTAACGTGTAAACCTACATTTATTCGAACGAGTTTGCGAACCAGCATGATCGGACCATGGAAACGGGGTAGATTAAAAATTCCCATGTTATTCTTATGGAGAATAAGTAAACTGTTGTTGTTTGCTTGTTTATGTCATGAGCTTATTTTGATCACATTTGGAAAATGCATTTATTTCATACTAACGTATGAACTAACGTAGTTTGTACTATCGTGGAAAAAACTCTTTTTTACCCTCCCTGTTGCAGCAAACCTAGGGTACTCGTTAAATTAATGCTATTTAAATAGGGATAACTGTGATATTTTTAAGGAGACATTTTAGTGTAAATACAATTAGGCAAATGGAAATTCGCTTAGTCTGTAGGTTTGCTGCGGCGGTAGTATTTTAGTGATTAAAAATATATATCCGGTTGGAAGATTATAAAAAAAATTTCTCAAAAAACTAGCTGAATTGTAATTTTTATTGGGGTTTAAAGCGGGGTTTAATACAATACGAGAGGTCGTCCAGTGGTCGAAACTCGACCAAAAATATGTAATGTACAGACTTCTCTATTTTCTCCCCACACTGTAAATAAAACATGTGATTTGAGTTTCTTCCATTTGTTTTGATTTTCTGTTTATATTTCGTTGTTATTTCGTAACCAGCATGGCAACCCATAAAATCCATGTTAATTTTTTCAAATTTTTAAACTAATTTTTTGTGCTTATCTTTGAGCCTATTTTAATTTATAAAGGGATTGTGCACACCTACAGGAAAATAGCTTTCTAACGGTATGCGTAGATTTTCCCTACGATGCACACGAGCTGAGAAAAAAGGTTTTAAAGAAACATGCTTGCCTATTAATATATAGATAGATTATTATTAGTGCTCTGTAGATGGTTGCAAAATTCATCGGTTTCTATCAGAGATGATTCTTTTCTTGGAAGAACTAGAAGTAGGCCTATTCTAGAAGTACGGCATCCAATGAATTAATAATATTGTTCTTGATAGCTAGTGTTGCAAACACTCTAATTTCACCGTCGTAATTGAGAAGTGGCTGTACACAGGTTAATATTTTGTCACAATAAATGACTTTCTTATCCCCCTGTGCAGTAAGTAGTCTTTTAGTCAAGTGTCAAGACTACAAAGAAAGGCAAATATTTCAGGGCGCCAAATTTCAAAGGACGAGAAAGTAAAGTTAAGGTGTTTATTGAACGTGAAGGGTTGTTACGAATGAAGGAAAATACCTTTAGACACCTTTAGGTTTATCTGCTTCATATCTCCCTATTACTATTTTTAGCGAATTTCCCGTTTAGGGAATAAGCTATTACTGTAGGTGGCATGGTAAGACCTAGACCTGGTACCAATTAACTTTTTAATTTTGTCCCCAGCGGCCCAAAAAGAAAATCAAATTCTTATTCTTATTGGCGGTTTGGTAAAATTTGTATATGTGTGTATATATAGATACTGTAGGCCTATATACGGTACTCAACGTGTATACAAACTTAAATCAAACTTTGGACGATCACAAAAGCAGGCACTGTTTTTTTCATCCTAATTTTTGTTAGAATACCTTTGACAACTTATGTTAGGATTTGAGGAATTTTCAATTTTATTTTGATATAATTTTTTTGTCCAGGCCTACATTAAATTTTGTTTAAACTAATTCCTCCAACAAATTAATTAAGGTAGGCTTATCAATTTCTTAAATAAAATAGGCTTAAAGGCCTATGGGCCTATTTTCATTAGAAGTTAATTTGGTTAGGGCCTACCTAGTACATTTTTTCAAAGTTTAGGCTGTGGTTTCCTAGACGCGTAATAGATGCGCTGCGGCTTTTGTCCAGGTCCCAAAACGCAGCTGCCGTGAGTGGTTTCCTAGACTGCGTACAATACACATGATTGGTGCGTAACACAAGTTCACGGGAGAGATTACTAGTGGCTACCATGATGTTATATGATGATTTAGATAATGAAATGTATACTTTGGTCAGTTTCGAAGAAGCGTAAGCAGTGAAAAGTACGTGATTAGGAAATGTACGTGGCCCTCGTGGAAGTTTTAACCGTAGTATTAAAGCAAACGTGTCAATTTAAAATGTAAAAAATAAGTTTTAATATACCTAACCTCTCCAGCTTTGCTTTTACTGTTATTATATTTAGGCCTACCTATTCGGAATTTACCGAATTGACGAAATAGTATATTATTTACGAGTATAACTGCAATAAGCATTTCATACTTTTACGCCAGCCCCGTAAGAAGGACGGGTACTCTGCTAGTAATTAATATAGGATTATTATTAAGATATTCAGGGGTTCTTAAAATAATTATGGGGGCTCTTATATTTGGGAGTTGGTGTTGTGCTGGCTTGAAAAGAATATTTGTCAACATTAGGTTTATTTACAAATTACAAATATGTGAGGACAAATTAATTGTAGGGAACATTTAATAAGGGAATTAAATATTAAAATTACACATAATGGGGAAATTAACACTACCTAACGAATGATATGAAATGTAATATTATACAAATTTTAATTGTATGAACGACGTACTTCCATAATATGTCATTTCAAGAGACAAATTCAATTGATTTTTTGTTGTTCTTGGGGAATTTAGCCATCTGGACAACATTTACTTCCAAATCCATTGCACAAGACATGTCTATAACGCAGCGTAACTCAGATTTGACTGCTCTGAGAGCAGTCGGTGAAATACGCAGCTATTGGTGCGCGCGTATTAGATGCGCGCGCATTAGATACGCAGCCTTGGAAATCGCTTACACGAAATTCCATAAGACAAGTGTGCTGCGTCTTAGATGCGCACACACAGCGCATCTATCACGCGTCTAGGAAACCACAGCCTTACCTAAAAATTAATGTTTATATCTTTTGGTTAGCTGATTCAAATGTCTAGTCTACAAATAATATACCTACTACAAAACAATATAAAGACATCACAGGCCTATCCCTGGGAAAAAATATGTGAGGGTCCGATTATTTAAGTAAGGCCCGTTTTTTATAATAAATCTGTAGTTCGCTTGTACGCCGCAACGAGGCTGCTTGCCACCATCGACTACTATACACAGAATAATAGGTATGTGTAATGTATCTGTGTATATTTGATGTCACCACTTACTGGCATCATTTGAGAAAACAATGACACCATTTGCAGTTTTGTTGCTACATGTCGTATGCTTCACTTCGCTGTGTGTTAAAAAAATGTAAACTACTGAATCTCTCATCGCGTATGAGATTATGTCAGTGATACTTTTTTATATCAAGTAACATTACCCGATGCAGACATTCATCGCCAGATGACTAAGGCCATGGCCCTAATGTAATGAGTGAGATGAAAGTGCAGAAATGGGCTATGGAATGTAAAAATGCATGAATTTTTTTTTTTCTTTTGTGGTCTTCTGTGAGAAGTTAACCCAGACTTCTCATAGAAGAAGGCCCACCAGAAACACAATTCCTTATGAAATGAGCGTTTCCACCAACATTTTTTTACTCCCTAGAATATTTCTGCTCTTTCTCCGCTATCATATCAGGGTTGTTCTGATTTCCTTTTGTAAAATAATTCTGTAGTGTTTTTTGGTGGGTTTTTATTTAGGAATCAGTCTAAAGTACTGTAGCAGGGTGACTGATCACAGAGAGTGACAGTTAAAAGGATGACGCTTATTCAACATTCTAACTGTATTAATATATTGACTGGGACCGTGGCGTTGTCCTATAATCCAGCAACTTGGAGGTCACGAATTGTGGATATTTACAGGCGTGCTGCGATACTCCCTGGTGTGGATTAAGGCCTGCTCTAGTGAGTACTTGGACTATTTGCAGTACTATCCTGATAATTAGACAAATTCGCAAATTACAAGGTAAAAATGTGGTTCGGCTTCCACTATAAACTGTAGGTCTCTTAGTTGCTATTGGCTGTTTGGGCTATTAATTAACAGTCCTGTCTAAGGAACATGTCGGCCTTAGTCAGTAACAAGTCTACAAGATCGCGCCACTCTTCATTCCCTCACCTCCATTCATACTTGTCTTAAAATACCTTTGTATGGTCGCCATTGAAATTAAAACCATGTTGCTGTGTATGTTGCAACAGGAGAGATAAGAACAACTATCTCAGAATTTGTAAAAGAAATGTTTGATTTAGTTGGCTCAATTTCTTGATTTACAAGTACCGGTATAAAATGTTGAGTTGGAATTTTATAAAACACAATAACTAGCCTCTCTAGCTACATCAACACTACTATTGGAAATTGTGTTGTTTATGTTTCAGTAGCCTAAGTGTTATTTTGATTTGCCAATTTTGTTTTTTACAGGGACAAATCAGCATTTCAGTATGGAGGTAGAACCCGATTCTGTGCAAAGCAATGGACCTGAAGGAAATTCTATCACAGACAAAACATCTGATATCAAAGAAAACAATGTTAAAGCTGAGGAAATGACTTCTAGAGATTACTACTTTGATTCATATGCACACTTTGGTATTCATGAAGAAATGTTAAAGGATGAAGTGCGGACAAAGACGTACAGAAACTCAATGTATCACAACAAACATCTCTTCAAGGTTAGTGAAAATGTGGCAATAGAGGTGAAAAATGTACTTTAAATAGTCACTGCACAAAATTGCACTTGGATTTAAGAATTGGATTATGATTTTAATAACACAATTTGAGATTTGAAGTTCTTGGATATTTGCCTATCACTAATGTTTAGCAGTAACATCAATGAACCAAACCAAACCACGATTGAAGACACATATAGTTAATTATCAAAAATGTTTGTAGGCAAACTTCTATAGAATGTTATTGAATATCTTAACTTAAACTTATACTGTTGAATTCACATTTTTGTATGATAGGCCTAACACTTTTGTTTTATTACTGTGTATTTTACGAGGATTCTCAATATTCGTTTAAGATTGAAGGTATTATATTGTCCAACATCTAACTTGTCTTTATTGTTTTAGGGTAAGATCGTTCTGGACATTGGCTGTGGAACAGGTATCCTGTCTATGTTTGCAGCCAAAGCTGGGGCATCTAAAGTAATAGGCATTGAATGTTCCAACATTGTTGACTATGCCAAACAAATCGTAGAAGCTAATAACTTATCTGAAGTTGTCACTATTGTCAAAGGAAAAGTGGAAGAGGTCACTTTACCTGATGGCATCACACATGTAGACATAATAATATCAGAATGGATGGGGTAAGTACCTATCACTTTTGAACATCTATAATATTTGTGGCTATTGAACTTAAAACTTGCAACCGTATTAAGCCTAGATGTCTTTCAATCATGCATCTTGAGTATCCCTGTTGACAATATTCTGAAGCAAAAATTAGGTAATTCTAAAAGGCCTCAAACTCATAAACAATTATGAAAAAGTTAAACATTTATTTTGCAACAGCTGTTGTTTATTGTTAAAATGTTTTTGTTTTTAGCGAATTTCCCATATAGGGAATAAGCTATTACCGTAGTACTCATGGTAAGGACCTGGACCCGGAACCGATTTACTTTTTTGTTTTTGGCCAAAAACACCATCCGTTCAAATTCATATACATTTACATCTATTTATATACATTATATATATGGATATATGTGTCCGTTAGCACGATAACTCGAGCAAAAATGATCCGATTTTGATGTAATTTGGTATAAATAAAACCTACATTAATTCAAACGAGTTTGCAAACTAGCATGATCAGACTATGGGAACGGTGTTTTATGGGGTAAAAATTGGGTTTTCCTATTTTTGACCCAAAAACATAAAATTTAGCAATTTATTTCCAAACCATTTTATAGAGCTTAAAAAAAACAAATAATTTAGTATATTGAAGCGTTTATGCCCCTAATGGTTACGGAGAAAATTCCAAAATATTATAAATTTAAAATTTTTATGTTATTCTTATGGAGAATAAGTAAACTGTTGTAGTTTGCTTGTTTATGAACATATTTTTATCAAATTTGGAAAATGCATTTATTTCTTACTAAAGTATTACAATTTTACAAAAAAAAACTTGCTGCGGCAGGGGTATTTTGTTTCTCTTATGATGTACCAGAGTGTTCATTATTCGTTTGTTAGTAAAACATTCTCAATTTTTTTTTTAGATAGTGGTGCATTATTTTATATCTATACAACGTCACCATTAAGTTATCATTGTTGTCAATCACACAGTCGCCCTATTTACCATTAATATAATGTTCATATGTTAAGGGACAAATTGAATTCAAAATATAATAAACAATACCAGCATAGCCTACTTTCTCACATTTAGTGATATTTTATGAAGAAAATCACAAAAATTGCAGTAAATTTTGAACTATAATTTTCACAGCTTTGGGTACTATTAAAATTTTACAAACAAAAAAAACTTGCTGCGGCAGGGGCATTTTTGTTTCTTTTATGATGTTCCAGAGTGTTCAATATTCGTCACCCATGTTATTTTTTATGAAGAAAATCACAAAAATTGCAGTAAATTTTGAACTATGATTTTCACAGCTTTGGGTATCATTTGTTCAGAGCTAAAAAAAATCATTTAAGGGGTTTTTCCTGATAATCAGATTTTCCCGTTTTATTTTATGGAAAAAATCACCAAATTAGAAATAAAAAAGATACCTGAAGATTAGTACTGATTCCATCAACATACCAAATTTAATCAAAATCATACCACAGGTGTAGTTTGCAGCTCTGTACACACACTCAGATGACTTTGAAAATCACCCTTTTCTTGTGTTCAAGGGGACCCAAACCAATGAGGGCCGTTTTTTAAGTAAGGGCCGTTTTTGCGTATGAATCCGTAGTTCGCTTGTACGCCTCAACAAGGCTCCTCGCCACTTACTGGAATCACTTTAAACAGAATTAAACCATTTGCAGCTCTGTATCTGTCATGTACGCTTTGCTGTGGGTTTTTTAAATTGCTTAAACTATTAAATCTTCCACTGCGTTCGAGGTAAGGTCAGTGATACAGCTTTTTACAACAAAACAAAAGTCCGATGCTGACATTCATCCCCAGAAGTGTTTATGACCCTGATGCAATGATAGCGGGGAAAGTGTAGAAATAGGCTGGGGAGTTAAAAAAATGGCTGTTAAAATGTTAATTTCGGAAAGCATTGTGTTTGTGGTGGGTACTCAGACTTCTCACAGGAAAAGGATTTCACTGCAATTTTCACACCCCATAATCCATTTCCGCACATTTCTCTCATTCATTACATTAGGATTATAGCCTTCAGTCATCTGGCGATAAATGTCGGCATCAGATATGTGTCTTTTAACCAAAAAGCGTATCACTGACATTATCTCACACTCACATACGACCTTACAAGTAAACTACAGATTTATACGCAAATATTGCCCTTTAAAAAATTGCCATTGTGTATTTCCGCCCAAAAATAAAAACAATACTTTTTCCCTATTATTCTCTAAATTGTATAGGAAGAGAAAGTAAAAATCATATCATTATTGCTACAGTAGAACCTCTATTTTCCGGGGTAATTGGGGGGAGGGAGACCGCGGATAACTGAAAACTGCAGTAATCCAACATGGCATTAATAAAAGCTTATTACAAACCCATCAATACCCCTAAAACACGTATAGATGGACATTAATGCGATCATTTGCATTTTAATCATCAAATACTATTTATTATCGCACAATCATGATCAGTAACCTTGGCTCAGTTTTATAAAATGTAACGTTTAAGATCACAGCTTAATCCAACTTTTACTCAAACAAAAAAATGTCCAAACACTTAACAGTTATAAATCACTAGAAACGAAACATTAGATAGTCTAATGTGCTACTGCTAGTCACCCCTCCCCCCCCTTCCAAATGAAATGCACAGGTAACTGCAATAAGCAAATTATATACATGCCAACCCCATACAAAGACTAACTATGCTAGTATATATATTTTTATATTCACAAGTTTAGTTTACTTTAGCAGCTGCTATTATATTGTTTTCAGGTACTGCTTGTTCTACGAATCAATGTTGGATACAGTGTTGTATGCTCGAGACAAATGGCTGAGGCCTGACGGCATGCTGTTCCCTGATCGAGCGATGTTATTTGTTTGTGGAATCGAGGACCGTCAGTATAAGGATGAGAAAATCAACTGGTGGGATGATGTTTATGGCTTTGACATGAGTTCTATCCGTAAAGTAGCCATTAGCGAGCCTCTAGTTGATGTTGTAGATCCTAAACAGGTAAGATTTTACTGATTAATTACGTCAAGCTGGAATGTTATCATAGCTTTAGCGTCACAACTCAAAGTTACTAAAAAAACTTGAAGATTTTTTTTTTCAGAATAGAACTTTCAGTTTAATGATATCGTACTTTTACTTATGAGTTCAAAAATTTGTTAGTATTGAAGTCAAACTACCTGAAAAATACATGATGTAATACTCTTAATAACTTGACCTGTAACCTCAATAGTGATGTGGGCCAGGTAAATATCGAAAAGTGTGGGTACTTATAAAAAATATAAACACTAGCAATGTTTTGCATAGTCCATAAGATTCACCATGACAAAATGAGTAAAATATGATGCCCAGAAGGTAGCCTATAGTTTGTGGTATATGGTGGATTAAAAACTAATAAAAACTTGCTAAAATTCATGCACTAAAAAGTGGGTATTTATAATTTTACTACACTGCTTTATTGTAGACGTATAAATTTTCTGAAGGACTATAATATAAAAAATAATACAGTACACTCTTGATAAACTGAGATTGTTGGGACCTCCTCCTGACTACCTCATGTGGTAAAAATAAATCATTTTCCGGAATTGTGCACAGCCAATAAATGAAAGTTGAGCAATTCATTTGGTATTTTAATATGCTTCTCTGATAGTCTGGCCTTTTCACTGTTCTGACCATGGTCTTGGTCCCGTGGGTGGCGGATTAGCCGAGTTGTACTCTAACATTTAGCTGAATATTCATAACAACCTGGGTAAATACCCTGAGTATTTGCCCATTATTATAAGTACTCTGGTATTTTACTTCTCTAAACCATTGTAAGTAATCCTGTATCTGTAAAACAACAAGACCTAGTTGTTTTATTCTTAAGTTCAGTTTAGTTGTATAGCATTTTCAATTCGAATGAATACTGCAGTTTTGACACATTTATTATAAATTTGTATTCTGTTCCTTAGGTTGTGACAAATGCATGTCTGTTGAAAGAAGTGGATTTATATACTGTGACCAAAGAAGATCTAGATTTCAATACACAGTTCAATCTGCAAGTCAGGAGGAATGATTACATCCAAGCTTTGGTGACTTTCTTCACAATGGAATTCACCAAATGCCACAAGCGAATAGGATTTAGCACTGCTCCTGAACAACCTTACACTCACTGGAAACAGACTGTTTTCTACCTAAATGACTACTTGACAGTGAAGAAAAATGAGGAAATCTATGGAAGTTTTGCGATGAAACCCAATCAACGAAACAATCGTGACTTGGATTTCACCATAGAGATTGATTTCAAAGGAGAGCTGTGTGAGGTTCATGAATCCAACAAATACAGGATGCGCTAAGAAACCCATATCTCTAAGTTTGGATTTTCTGGTCATGTGCAAAACAGACTACACAATACTATTAGTCTGTTAATTGTCCAACTTTGTCGGTTGTGATAAAAAGATTAGCCGTCTAAAGTATTGCTTTTTAAGTTATAAACCTCATAAAAGTAGAATATGGGGAAAGAGATTTTCATTTTTCGTTGTAACTGTATGTTTTTTATATCAACCATTTAGTTTTATATCCAGTGAATTATTTTCAAATGCCGTGCATTTTAAGGAAATGTTAAAAAAAGAAGATAAATATACACCTGGTTTACATTTTTAACAACAAAAACCTATTAATTTTACCCTGTTGAATAAAAGGGACAACACATAGTTAAATATGTATAATGGCATTGCCTGCCTTGTGAATTTTGCATTTTTGTGGTGAGCACTTTGAGAACTCAGACTTTTTAAACGATAAAGTAAACCCATATTGGTACATATATTAACCACCAACGATTTGATTTGCTGATTCGTAAATCATTAGTACAGATAATATTCCGCATTTTGGATTGTTTGTTAGTATATTATGTGAACACTTTTCTTCAAAGGACTAGGATCTTGAGCTTATATTTTATTTCTTCATAGCAATCAATATCATAAACCTCTGATGACAATGATTGAAAATGATATGCTTATGTTTAATTTATTCTTACTATTAGGCCTAACTACTTTTTGTGCAACCCATATTAGTTAACTATACATCCTGCAATTTTGTTTAGATTTAGACTAACAATGTTTTGAGTACAATATTAAATTTTCTGTTAAATTTTACATCGTCAATCTGGCCGGGAAGATTGTGAATGCGTTAAACAATCTCTGGGTTAAACAATTTAAAATTTTGTTTTTTGAAGGACTTGCAGGTTAAGTTAAATTTAATCTCCATAAAAATCGCTTTGTCTTCGACGTGTTAACTAATTAGTTAACATTCAGTCGGTACACATTATCGTTGTTAATTTGTCTTAAAATTTACCTCCTACATGATATTCCTGTACAATTCATACAGCCCTGCACTACATCAATAATCATGAATAGCTAGGATTTGGTTTTTTGTTAGTTATGTCATAGTCTTTAGTTATAACATCAAGTTTCAAAATGTAACACTTCCTTTTTTAAATTATACATGCAGTATAATAAACAAGAGTTTCCAATTTAATGGATTTTATTTTTATCATAGTAGATCCTGAACAAAAAAGAAACTATGTTCATCCAACTAAATTCATCACAGATCATCACTCTCTTACCACCATCTCTTATTGATTATCTACTCATCATGAGTTGAGAGTTAATAATTAAGTTTGCGATAAATTGAACACCAATTTGTTTTGTCCACTATTTTGGAACCTGGAATATAATTACAGTTTATAAAATATGTATATAAACTGCCTTTTGCATTTCATAAAAGATGGCACCAAGTGTATGCCAAGATGCAGTAATGGTATTATCCTTCTCTAATTATGTCATATTCATTCTTATTGCATTTAATTTTGATGTGTGATAAAATGATTGGTACTAAAAATCAGCAACAGTTGACGAAAAGGCAAACTAAGGCAAGGATTGTACAAACACTTTATACAAAGAGTGCTGTTAAGTCTATTGTCTCTAGTCCTTGGTTATTTTGTGAAAGTTAACATTTTTTACTGTAAGTAAAATAACATCAACAGTGGGAATTTTTAACTTTTCTTAGTCGTAAATGTTGCCTGTGATTGCTACCTAATTGATAAAAAGAACCATTTCTTAGTAAATGCAGTTTTACTTGTTCATCCCTTGAGTTTTATTTTCCATCAACTGAAAAAACCTTATGAGAAGAATAGTTCAAAATGCTATGAACGTTCTTATAAGTTTCCTTATAACATATTTTGATGGAAAATGTGTGACTGCTGTCGCAACATGAATCCAACTTAAGTACTGTAGGGAAATGGGCCAGTGAGTTACTTGCCACAGAATGAGATTGCTGAGTGTGTTGACTGTATGCAATGAATACATAACTTGTAAGAAGCGCTTTTTTTTGTTAAAAATTCAGTCTGGGAATATTTGAATTTTGGATAGTTCCCGCCACGGCTGCTAGGTGGACTATTTTGAGAGCACAGCCAAGTCAGCTGACTGTGAGAGAGAGAGAGATATTGAGCAGCGCGAAGCTCTCGGCAGCAAAATTCCAGTCTGACGTTTCTCCATAAGCATTTCACTTCTTAGGCCCGATTCACACGAGCAACTTATCTTGCTGACTAGGTAAGCCTGTCTGGGTAGCGGACCACGGGATTAAATGGAGTCGTTCACACGAGCGTAGGGCGACGACTAGCGAGCCGCGTTCGAGCTTGGTGTCCCAAACCATAGTCGTGCCCAACTTCCCAGTCACTCATGGCAGCTACCCAGTCACCCGCTCTAACGGCGTAGCAGTACATGTAGCTTTATGGGAGCGTTCACACGAGCGATCAGGTAGGTAGTCGTCCTGCAGCTACCATTCTTCCTTTTGTTCTCATTGTGCACCAGTGATGGATCCGAGTGGTTTTGATATCGATATTTTCATCTAGTCCGTGGACATGTCGCTCGTGTGAACCGGTGTATCCTGTGGTCCGCTAACAAGTCGGGCTAACATAGTCTCAGCCTAGTCAGCTAGATAAGTCGCCCGTGTGAACCGGGCCTTAGAATGCTGTATGTCTGCATTAAGCTATTGCCCATGTAGCACAGATGGTTGGGCCAACGTTGGCCAACTGTGGGACAGTTGGTCGATGGTTGGTTGGAGCTTCCACAACCAACCAACCGTTGTCCAACTGTATATCTCGTAGTTGGGCCAACCAATATTTACAACTGTGGACCAACATTGGTTCATTGTTAATGAAATACATTAATATGCATTGCTGGGTATCATACATCAAGCCAACCGTTGTCCAACCGTTTTTCACTCCGTTGGACCAACAAAAGATACTTTTGTTGGTCCAACGATGGTCCATAGTTGAGTTTACACGACTTTCATTCTCTGGGTCTAGCTTTCACAACATCTATATCTATACTATTATAAAAAAGAGGTGGTTGCTGTATGTGTGTATGGGAAAAGTAAACTCGAAAAATACTGGTCGGATTGGGCTGAAATTTGGCATGATGATAGCTCACATTCCCGATTAACATATAGGCATATTCTTATTTCAAAAATCCTTTCGGGCTCCGCCCCAGTGGCTCTGGAGTTTCCCATGTTAACCTTATGAGAAATGGAATTATTGAATCTTAACAGCTGTTTCAATTAAACAAGTTGGTTCTGTTCTATGATGTTCAATAGCATTAAAGTTACAAGGATTACCAACAGGGTGCAGCACTATTATTTCTTTTACATTTATGACAACAGCTAATTTGCAACCAAAAGGTGAGTGAGCGTAGCGAACGAACTTCAACCTGGAGGCGAGTTAGCGTAGCGAACGAGCTAACCTGAAGGCAAGTGAGCGCAGCGAACGAGCTCCAACCTAAAGGTGAGTGAGCGTAGCAAACGAGCTCCAACCTAAAGGTGAGTGAGCGTAGCGAACGAGCTCCAACCTAAAGGTGAGTGAGCGTAGCGAACAAACTTCAACCAGGACGTGATTGAGCCATGCGAACGAGATAATCTTGAAAATTAAGAAGTTAAACGGGGCAAAGCCCGCGGGTTACAGCTAGTAATTATAATAAAATATCTGGTTTTACAATACCTTAATCAGTTCCAAAAGTTTCCAAAAGTTTTTGGAACTGATCAAGGTATTGTAAAACCAGATATTTTATATATTACAGTTCCGGGGCTACAACAATGAATTTTAATAATCATAAAATAATGCAAATATTTTTTTAATTAATATTCTTTAACTTATTTGCAACAATTTAAGGGGAAAGATTAATTAATCATATAACAGTCAATTATAATAGCATTAATAATCTAACAGTAATTAATTAATCTCTATATTCAAATACCAGTATCCTCTCTAACTAAAAAAAAAAATAACTACTTATCCTATACTCTAATACGAGCAATGTTTGCTTGTATGTATGCTTGCTTGCTTGCAGAAAGATCTCGAAAATGGCTCCAACGATTTTCTTCAAATTTGGTAAATAGTTTATTTTTGGCCTAAAAACGAGCTTCATGCAGTTAGAACTCCCAACAAAAATCTAATTACGTAGAAAAACAAGACTGAAAGTAACATTTTTTTAACATTAGTCTTATGGGTTGCTAAGTAACCATTGAATTAAATAACAAGGAAAAAGTAAACAAAAGGCTTGAAGTTGTAGCACGTGTTCATAATAAGCCAACTACCCACAGTATACTAGCAAATTACAACTACAGTACAAAAGGGAAAGCATCACTTGCTACTATTGAGCAAAGATTATACTGAAGATTGCTCGATACATTGTAGGCCTAGTAAAGGCAGGCAGTACGAAGTGTGGGATCTGTTTATGACAATTAGATTAAGGTATTTGCAATCAAAAAATGCTATGGGATGGGAGGAAAACAGGTCCGTGACGTGGGAAGTGGTGAAGGAAGTATTCAAGGCGAGTAATCCGGAGTGTGGAAACTTTTTATGATGATTAGATAAGGATATTGGCAATACTAAAATGCTATGGGAAGGGAGGAAAACAGGTCCGTGACGTAGGAAGTGATAAAGGAAGTAGTGAAAGCGAGCAGTCTGGAGTGTGGAAACTGTTTATGACAATAAGATTAGGGTATCTGCAATCCTAAAATGCTATGGGATGGGAGGGAAACAGGTCCGCGACGTGGGAAGTGGTGAAGGAAGTATTCAAGGCGAGTAATCCGGAGTGTGGAAACTTTTTGTGATGATTAGATAAGGATATTGGCAATACTAAAATGCTATGGGAAGGGAGGAAAACAGGTCTGCGACGTAGGAAGTGCTGAAGGAAGTAGTAAAGGCGAGCAGTGTTTGGGAATGGATTTATGTATCTGCAATACTAAGACTGCTTTCAGAGTAAACTAATGATTTTGCCGAGCAAAGCTTGGTCCCCAGGTACTGATGCCTTAACAGATTAACAGAATTATATTATACTGTGTAGTATCAAAAGTGTTTGAAGTATTGCGACCATTGCAACTGTCGGGCACTCTTTCACCACTTGAAAAATCTCTATATCAACAATCACAGATAGCTCAGTGGTAAGGTAAGAGGCTCATAAGTCGAAGGACCTGGGTTCGAGACCCGTCTGGGCCAAAAAATTTTGTTCTAGCTTTTTTCAAAATTTGTTTTTATGAACTATTTAATCAATTTACTCAACTAATAATTATGCTTTTCGTACTAAATCTTTATTATTTTGTGTGAAATAAAACGGTTGGTTGGATATCAGTTGTGTTATGGTTAGTTGGCCATCAGTATTTTTGGATGGTTGGGCCATTATTGGACAATGGTTGGCTGGAAAACAGTTTAAAGAGGTGACATTTCTACCGTTGGCCAACTGTGTGGCTCCACAATTTACCAACGTTGGCCCAACCATCTGTGCTACATGGGTGGTCTGCTTTTAACAAAGGTGAATTGCAGACTGGATATTATTTATTTGAAGTCAAAATTCCTTATATAAAACCATTATTTTTTTATTATTTGGAATTAAACAAAGATTGTAATGTTCCAGTACTGAAATATTTAATAGCAGTTTACGCAACTATCATGTAAAGACTATTTAAGCGAGTTGCGTATACTACTTTAACTACGACAGTTTTTTTATTACTAATAACTTCTAAAGAGAGGTTTAGGTTATATTTTCATTTGCAATCTATCATTGCCACTGACAGGTAGTCATGCAACGACTCATTGTACCAAACAATAATTAACAATTAAGTCTTAAAGTTGACGTTCGAAGCATTACAATTTTACTTATTTTCTCTCAATCCTTGAACCTCATTGGTCTGTTACTACTGTTAAAAATACACCTGCCGTAAAAGCAAATTTCCATTTGTATGAATTGATTTTCAATTAAATCTATTTAAATAACATTAGGTTTAACGAGTGCCTATTTTTGCTGCTGCTACAAAGAAACTATGAAGTGTGTTTTTTAGTCAAATATTAATACTAGTGACCTGGAAAACCTGGAAATGTCAGGGAATATTAAATATCTGGAAAAGTCAGGGAATTTTGTCATAAGTCAGGGAAAACTGTAAAATGTGTAACATAATTTTAATAATTGTTAGGAAAGGTCGAGAGTATGTGTGCCGTGTGGGTGAAAACTAAGAAATATGTCTCTACAAATAAATTTTGTGTTTTTGTACAAATTAAATCTATATATATAGTACGTGAAGCCGTTTTTTGTTAACGCAACTCCTCCCTTATTTGTGGACCAATTTCAACGTTTAAGGTGTCAAAAGATTTGTCTTAATATGAAGTTTTGCAATAAGGTTTTAGAATTTTTCAATTCCTACTCTTAAGGGCGTGAGACCCTCTCAAAGGTCGAGTTTTCCCCATAAGAAATACATAGAACAAATTTAAAAACAAAAACAGCTGTTAATAAAAAGAAACTCATTAGCTTTTTGGGAGTAAATATTCATGTTTGTAATATTGAGTAGGTTAAGACCAAGTTAAACAGTTAATCAGTTTTGTAGGGAGAACAGAAAATGACTCAATTTCAAAGAAGAAATATTGAAAACGGGAGTAGGACACAATTAATAATAAGATATCTTATGCGTATGAGGAGAGTAAAAATAGAGAGGCCTGGTCTAACACACATCCATCCAGATACACATTCACTTGGTGATAAGAATAATATTTGCCAGTTCTGCTATACATCGATGTTTCTAATATGCAACTCACTT